TATTAATTAGAAATGTTAATAAATTATGGTTAGTTCTGAGATGGCAGTTCCCTAAAACACAAAACTTTAAGAGACTGAACTATTACACTACTATTATTTAACTAGTTAATCCTTAAAATTTAGAAGTTAGACTTTTTTTAATTATTAAACAATTTGTAAAAGACATTACAGCCGCTCCCCAAATTGTGAATGGTCAAGTTATGAACGTTCGCATTTACAACCAAAGCTCCCATGGAACAGTCATAAAGGCAGTCCCTGAGTTACGAACGTGACCTGCGCTTACGAACAGCACGGTCGCGTGTAACTCAATGGGGTCTGAGTTACGAACAGCTCAAGTTACGGCCAAGTGTTTGGTCCGTAACTCGGAGAGAGGCTGTACACTTTTCATAGGAAAACAATGTTGAGGGATTACTATGATACTCTATATGAAAAGAGTGATGTGACAATTTAAAAAAAAGTAACCATTACTGCCAATATTAAAAAGGCTAAATACCATATGAAATCAATGCAGTTCAGATACATGGACTTCTGTTTTCCTCTTTAGATTATCTGAAAATGTGCTCACTATAATAGGACAAAGTACAGTCCAAAAATCAGTAAGCCTGAGTTAGTTTAAACTGCAGACTGTTGAAGTCATGTGGTTTGTACAAAGTGCCAGCTACACAAGATCTGCTATCTCTTAAAATCTGTAAACTTCCTAGTGGTGCAATAAATACATTTTTCCACACATACAGCTCTCCCCTACTCTTGAGAAAGCTCAGCTTATACCCTTGCTTCCCTCTTTATCCCCCCTCCCCCTGCTCCTTTCCCCCAAACAGACAGGACACAGTCTGGCGATTCAGGGACTCACGTAGGCCAGACTTCCTTCTGTGCAGCCCTTTGGGTAGAACTGCTAATCCTTCTTATTAATTAAAGAGATAATGTTGGTTAACCATAAAGCAATCTTAATGCTAACTAGCTAAGAAACTTCAACAGAAATCATTTAGCCTTTTTGTTGATTGCTAATAACAGAATTGTGCAGCTGGAATTCTAACATCTTGATGCTTTAAGAACTTAGAAATTTAGCAGTGTCTGAACTATATGAGACTGAAAAGAACGCTATCTTTTTGCTGCACTCAGACAAAGTTTAAAGCACCTTCCCTCAAGACCTGAATTAAATTAGCACCTGGGGTGAAAGTTCTCCAATTACACCACTCTTACACCATGAAAAAGGGAAGAGTGTAAGTATAGGGTAACACAACTGGTATGAGAAATATACTGAGCTAGGAACATGCACACAAAGAACACTTCAAAATGCTTAATGCATTTACTAATATTTTACTCTTTCAGACTTTCAAAACATTTCTCAAGGCACGCTATGCTTCATTCAGTGTGCGATAAAATTTAAACTGTATATTAGGTATTCTATTTATTTTGAAAAAAAATAAAGATTACATGCAGCTTAAGAATTCTGCAGATGAGAAATATCACTCTAGATATGATTTAGAAAAACAGCAATGCAGAGTTTAAAATCAGCTGCTGTAGGATTAAGTAAAACATCTATAAGAGAAAGGATTTATATTATCTGAGGTTCTACTGCAGCAAACAAGTACAGCAGCTTTCATTCAGTGATTGTCAAAAACTTTCCAATGTGCCCACTGCAATGCGGATGCCAACCAACGAATCAAAGGCATTCAGCAACTAGACAAAGAGGGTCTGATGCCAACCTCGGTGCCACTGGCAACCATTATTGGCATCGAGCACATTGTCTGCCTTCCCCCTCCTCCTCCTGGCACTTGACAAACAAAATGGCGGTTCTTCTAGCAACGGAACACAGCATAAGCGCTGCACTGATTGAATCAAATACCACCAAATGATTTTACGGACGGAGATGTAGTTCATACTAAACGATACACGCTGTCTATCGGATAACAAAAAAAAACACCTAGATTTGTCAACAGAAGATGTAATTGTGACATTTGCTGATTTAATTTTTTTTTTAACTTAGAAAAAACAGACAGCTATATCTAACAGGGAGAACATCACAGAAATGTTTTTAAAGGGATTGTTTAGATGCTGAGCATTCTAATGACTTAGGCACATGGCACAATGTAAACTTTAGTATCTTCCCCAAACCACTAAAAGCAGCAATGTCATGTCAAACCCCTTCTAATATTTTTTTAAACATTCTGCACCAGAAGAGGCTGTTGTTAAGAGATAGGGGAAGAAAACAGCTGAATCGTGATACAGGAGTGAAAAGGAGAACCAGATGAAGTTGGTCAATGACAAAACTTGATAGACTGGATCTTTATTTCTTCCTTCAAAAGAAACATGGAATACAAGAAATAGAACCCCTTCTATAAAGAACCAAAAGGATATTGACATTTCCAGATCTGGAAATGGTCAATATATTGTAACATTACTCCACACTGCAATGCGGATGCCAACCAACAAATCACAGGCATCCTAGGCTAAACAAAGAAGGTCTGATGCCAATCCTGGTGCCACTGGCAACCATCATTGGCACTTCTAACTATTCTTCCTCATGTTTTCTATCAGTCATTTAAAATAAACCCTGTATTTTGGCCCTTCATTTGTTTCACTTATTTTTTCATATTTCTGTCATCATTAAATAGTTTTTCATATATATCAAAAGAGAAATAGTTAAGTGGTAGATACAGCAGTTTCATTGAGTTCATGCTCATCTTTTACAAAACCTGAAATCCTTAATCAATTACTCTGCAAAACGCCATAACTGAACTGCTCTCGATAAAGAACAAAGATTAAAAGCTTAACAAAAAAAAATACAACGTTAACTTAACGTGATTTCTTCAAGTAGAAGGCCATCACATGGTAACAAGAGATTTACTGAAATGCAGTGAAATACAAATTAGATACACAATTTACAATAAACAAAAGGTCTTCCAAAGGTGATTTGAAACAAATAAGTTAGTCTACTTTATCTTTCAGTAGTTTCTCAGTAGCTCGTCATATTTCTGGAAATATGAATGGTACCATAACGGTACTATACGGTTATCTTATTTGCAGCTAATCTGACACTATTTTTTTCAATACACCAATATAAACCAGTAATTCCCCCCATCCTGATTTCCCATTTCAAAGTTAAAGCTTTCCACCAACTTAAAAATTGAGAATATTTAAGAAATTATACCGATCCTAGTTTCCTTGGTTCCAGATTTGCTTGAACCATTTTGTTTCTCAATGTAGTCTTGACTTTCAGAAAGATATATTTTCCAGATAGCTAAGATGTGATAATATTAAGCAGGCTATGTCTTACTAGATGTATTTCCATAAAGCCACTTTATTTTCCGCACTGGAGCAATTTAGAATTATAATATATAATTAAGATGCTTTGTTTGAAGCTACCACAGACAATAAGTACTTTTCTTTTTTGTTTTCCTGGATCAGGTGTGCCAGAATTGCAGCCTTATATGCCATATACTGCTATGAAAACATAAGCTAATAAAAACAAGCAGAACCAAATACTGAATTATATTTTTTCATTATGAATAATCCTGCAAGACTCTCTCTGTATTTAATTTGCTTTACTTAAGTTTTATAATCATAACACACAATTTGGAGAATTAAATAGGAATTCTAGACTAGACGTTCAAAAAACTTCTTGTTTTGTGTGTTCTTCTACAGAATGAATACATTCAAAGAGTATGTAAAATATAAAGCTAAATGAAGGTTGGTGCCATTTTACTTTTTTTTTCTGTTACTAATAAAATCCATTGTGTTAATTTCTCAGTTAAATCCTCTAGTTATATACAAGGCATTGGATAACTGTCTGCCATCTGCCTTTCTTCGGGCGGGCCATTTTTGCCCACCACCAGGCCAAGTCTTGAAATGGCCCACCATCTGTGGTAATTCAAACTTAACCCAGTTTGGATTTACAGCGGAAAAAAATGATTTACTAATGTGGATAATTAGTAATAGAAAGACTTCTAGAAGATGATAAAATTACAAGAGAATTTTAAAAAAATGTAAGAAAGAGCATGCATTTTATGGTTTCAGAAATAAGAAAACATGTATCTACTTAGGTGCATTTATGATTCAGAAGACCTGCAAATAAATACTACTATCAATTAATTATATACCTAAAGTTTGATTAGCAAAATACATTTTCTGAGTCATTTGTGGAGTATTATGAACAGCTGGTTTCCTTTTAGTCCTATACCCTTAAGTTTAACTGCCTCTTTATTTCTAAGTATATCTGGAATTTTCTGTATTTAAACAATTTTGTATACAAAATTATGTACACCAGAGCTCTATGAAAATATTATTTTGATGGAAACATTTGAGAAAATCTACATCATGCATATTTGAAAAGTAAAATTAATATCAATACTTTGAAGTAGTCTATATGAAGATTATTAAAATATGAATAAAATGCAAACACTGCATGCTATAATTTTGAATATATAGCAACAATATTTACAGGAGCTGTGTCAGTGTCTCTTTGCTAAATCCTTTTTAATGTTTTATTTTTTCAATAGTTGAAAAAGTTTATAGTTGCTCTCTGGAGCAATAATAGATGGATCATCATAAGCACAAGTCATTGAATATAAGTAATTACAAGAAAATGTAGATATTTATATTTTGTATGTTTCTATGCAAGTACAGACATATGCATATGTCATTAATCATGTTGGAAACATCTATAAAATACTATTCGTTTCTGGAGTACTAACTGAAAAAAAAATCCCACCTAGGGTCAGTTTTTGACAAAAATAATTTCTCACTAGCTTCAAAGGACAAATGTTACTTGTTCCTTTTGCAAGAAAAACCAGCACTTATGTCATATGCAGGTGTCATACATGTATGTGTGTTGGAGTGAACATGTATCTGTGTATACATATACATGCCGATTTACTATGCATACCGAAGTTTTGTATATATACCACAGAAGTGTGTCATTGGAAGTCTTCCCTTAAAAAAATCAGCTTGGAATCAGTGTTTGACATACTAAAATAGAAACACAACAATCTGCTTCCTACCTTGCTCCTGCACGTAGTATGCCAAAAACAAATCAAGCTCCTTGACTGATACTGTTATGTGATGTGGTTGGACGCAAAGTGCTGGATTTGTGCAATGTGGGGATTTCATGAGTCGCTCTCCATCCGTACTTTCCAAGGGGATGCCTTTGAACAGGATCACCATGACTAGATCCAGACGCCAGACTTTGTCAGCCTGTCGCAGGCAATCGATTCTCCTAATCTTACCCTTCTGGTCAGGATTGGACAATACACAGCATGGGTGCTTCTTCCCAGTAACAGTGAGCACAAAATCCTCCCGGTACTCTTGGCGGATATCTTTGCGGAGTTTGGCGAGGAGCCTGGATGCCCACTTCTGTTTAATTTCAGGCTTTTCACTAAGTAGCTCATCCTTGACTGCTCTTTCCTCATCCTTTGACATTCGCTTCTCATGTTTTTTAAAGTACTTGCGTTTTCGAGCCTGAAGGTTGAACCAAGTATAGGCAATTGCACGGACATGTGGTAGAAGTGCCTCAATGAACGGGTGAAATTCATCCTGTTGAAAGAAGAGGTACAGGGGAGAAAGAAGAAGAAAACTCAAATCAGTTTTGTTCTCATAATGAAGGCAATAGTGAGATAAGTTTCTGAACATTCTGAAGTGAAAACCAAAATGAAGCAAATATAGACTTAACATTTACAACAATTTCTGCACAACATCCCTTTATGCAATTACTATAACTGTCAGACAAGAGACAGAAGTATACTGAGCATCACATTTCCCCACATTTCATCCTCTGAAAGAAACACGTGAAGGCTTTATTTTGTATGCCCTTCAATTCACAATGCTATACAGAATACGTCATTTAAAAGAGATGCCATCAATATGTTTTGTTCCTAACATTTAAATATTTGACTGATCGGCTGATGTCAAGCAGTACCATTTTACAAAGAGGACACAATACGATATTAAAAAATCTGAGCAGAAATGTTCAGAATGCAGGAGCGAATGCCACAGTTCATTTCTCTTCTCTGTGGCACAGAAACACAAAGCATATACATGCTCAGTGTAATGCCACACAGTTCCCGCTTTTGGAGCATGCTCTCAGCAAGAGACTGCTGGTGGCACAAAGAGCATGCGCCATTAAACTTGATCCATTTTCTTATCAATCGTCCAACATTCCAACACTGAATCAGCACCATTCCAGTAGTGGTAACTAGAGAAACCAGTATAGGGTAAAGCAAGGTGGGAAAAAAATACAGCATATAAAAACTCCGAACAGAGGCTTCTGTACTTACAGCTCTGCATGTCTCCCCCCCATTTACCCTATCCCCAACGCACACACACACACGAACACTAAGTAAAATAAAAGTTTATGAAGTTGATCACAAAAATTACATTAACGTTCTTCCAGAACTCTATTTATCAGATATGAAGCCTCATGGAGTTAGTTAATGTGTTCACTAATCACGAGTGTGGCAATTATTCTAAACCCCTTAAAAATCAAACTGAGATGTACAATGAAAAATGGCAACTTGGCACAAACTTTGCATTCTTTGTGTTTCTGCATGCTGTGGCAGAGTGACATTAGGAGTATGCCATTGGTCAAACACTGCTTTTGTGAAAGCCATGCAATTTGTTTATATTTTTAAATATCCTTTCCTGTCATGTGCCTTTAGTTTCAGGTTCTTATCTTCTACCTAGTTGCAATATGTACTGCATTAAAGGGGGAAATCCTAAATATAACAAACTAGTACATAACACAACAATTCATTCATTCATTCATTCATTCATTCACTCATTCATTCATTCCGCCTGTTTTAAGTAGCATCCTACATACTTGTTCTTGCCCAAATAGGACTTTCTCCCAAAGTACAGTCTCTCTCTGTGAACAAGTAGGAATGTAATTAATCAACAAACTTTAAAAAGCCAAAACCCACTACCAAACATTTTTGGTTTTGAAGGGCGAGATTGTGTGAATGTCTATTTTTTATTTTGTATGGGTTTCTATTTTTAAGCATTATGGAATGGTTATGCACCATATTGAGTAATGTGATACAATAACCCCACAACTTAGCTTTGTTTATGTGATTATATACCAGAACAGACTATTTCTATCTATATAAACTAAAATATATAGATAGAAATTGAATGATTATATTTAATCAGTGAGGTGATTAACTCCATTAGGTAAAAATAATGAAAGTATAACTAATGGCTTAGGGTTCCGAATATTTTCTTGGCAACCTATCAGACTTCAGACTGAGATTTTAGCATTAAAAGCTTCAAATTTAAAAGCAATTTCAGAGTATTCTGAATGTTAAAATCATGTCATATTTGATTTTATATCCCTACCTGTCCCCCTCAAAAAAAAAAAGTTATGAGCAAAGTTGCACATATGGCCAAACATAACCTTCACAAAAAAAATATAAACCAAAATTGAGCCTTAGGGGATGCAAATGGGTATATTATGGTATGAAACATAAAGGCAATGATTCAAATGTTCAGCAGTTTCCAGCAGAGATTTGAACATTTCTCACACTACACAGGCACACAAAACTAGGCCATGCAAAGAGTTAAACCACAATCTGTTCTTTGTGTGGGAAGGCAGTTCTGCACTGAGCAACCACAGCCCACGATAAGACCTCCATATCTCCATACACTTTCTGATGCCATACTTTTTCCTCTTATTAGAGCTAGTACAGAAAGTTTTTTTTTCTCCTCAGAAAGTCATCTTAAAAGAAAGTCATTTATTAAAATTCTGAAAAAGTTATATTGTGAACATTTCTAATTCATTTTATTACACATTTTTAAACTTGTAACTTCTGGGAGGAGGAAGTTAAAGGGGGGTCCTTTGTCCCACAGCAATATTTCTATATTTAAAATAGGTTACAATGTTTATAATTTAAAATGTGCAATAAAAGTGTATGGAAATATCCCATGATATCCAAATATTGTATATCGAGCAGTTCAGGGAGGTTTCATTAAGGAAATAATGAACTTTTTTTACTTAACTTTACTTTTAGGTACTACATTGAATATTAACAACAATATACAATAGTACCCAAAATCCACAAGTCATTTTATATATTTAAATTTAAGGTCTGAAACTCTAAAACTTTAATGATTCTCCATAAAAATAGAAACTTTATTTTTTATCAACATTTTATTTTACAATATCATAGAATACTTGTAGATATAAAATATATGTTCAAGAAAATATGAAGCAGAAAAGCAGCAAGTTATGTCCTACTGTAAAAGAGTATTATCAAATATCTTTGAGAGATTCATTATGCGTCTGGATTCCTTTCAAATGAAACATTAGTTGACAAGAAGTGCCCCATAAAAATGATCCTAAATGGAGATTTGCTATTAATCATGCACTTTCTCCACTAAACCTCCTAAAAAGCAATCTACTAATTTGATTTTTTCTCCCTAACGTTGGTAGAGGCAATATTGAAAAAGTGATTTTTATGTGGCACTTACCCATGTGAATCATAACTACTCTTGCAATGAAGTGATTTATAAAGGTAAGATTTTTGAGTGTTGTAACAAATGGTTTAGGTGAACCAATACACACCCATAATTTAAACTAACGTAGAGGTTATTTTGAAATATGTATATAGCTTGAAAATAAATTAATAAGTACCTACACTGTAATCACAATATAAAGGTAAACTGATAGGCCAAGCTTCCATTTTCAGAATAGTTTAGAGAGAAACATATTTCCCTTCTCCTTTCCTCTCACCTCTCCTCTTTCTAAATTTCATATTAATCCATCTACTCTCAAATTGGAGACTGATGATACAGTAAACGAGGCAAAAGTCTAGCAATTACACATAGAAAATCTTGCATTCACAATTTCACTGCACGGATTGTCATTATTTTTCTCTATCGCTAAACCATATTTTCTAGCAATATAAAAATAAAACAAGTTATATCACAAGAGCCTAAGCATTTAAAGGCATGCAGTAACTGTTTTCTATCATGTCTTGGCAAGAGAGATGATTTGGAGTTTAGATTCATTCTAACACGGGAAAAGAGAGGGGAGAAATACACTTTATGTGATGTCTATATACTAACATAGTTATTGTGTATCCATTGAATTGATATTTAAGTGATGATGGGTAGCATCCCAATTGCCAAGTATTGTCTTAACAAACTTACTTTTAGATTTCACATCTACTCTAAAAAAGAGGCTCCAGCACTATAACCTCACAAACAGAAGTACAACTTTTGTAAGGCGCTTTATCCAATCAGGTACTTTATTTTGATCTATGCTTACAAGATTCAACAGAATATTTATTATGAGCACATACCACTGCAGCCAAAATATGTCCGAACAATCACATGAATAGAGAATACAGTAGAAATTAAAAGAATTTTAGCCAAGTTTTTTTTTCAAACTGTTAATCTCAACTCTGTATCAGATTCAGTGATATACTATTTAAAAAATAAATAAAAAGAAGACAAAGGGCAAGTCCCCATTTACCATGTAAGCCTAACCTTCAAATTGGGGACAGAGGAGGGAGATTAGTAAAGAAAGTTCAATAATTTCAAACAGAGGGTAGAAACTTTTACAATTAAAGAAAATCGGAACTGTATGTTACTAAATTTGCCTATTTAAATAGCCATATGATATAGCCTGATTGGAAAGGGATGTATTTTATATACAAGTTCTTTACTACAATAGAGCAAAATAATGCTCTTTTATTTAAGCGTGCATAAATCCCATAAATTTAAGTTTTATAAACACAGAAATAGTAACATTTTACTACACATTTGAAAAAATTACGTAATCTATTACATTTTCATGGGAAAGAGGCCGAAAACCAAACATATGAAAAAAAATGTCAGAAGAACGGAATATAGCAAAAGACCATACCTACTATATTACAGGTGAGAGTGAGAAGTTGCTCAATTACTTTAATATAATGGAAAACTATTTTATTTAATTTGTATTATTCGTAGATAAATACTCATGTACAGAAGACTCATTAGTTTGTTGATTTTTTTTAGGGAGTACACTGATGGAGGGGAGAAAAAATCCACTAATCGTGGATTACATCAGAAGTAATTTCTAGGTGTGTACCTGAAACATATCTACATATATTCAATACACAGATCAATCTATATGTAATTATATTATTTAATTTTAAACTACAAAATAAAAACTCCTGATACTCTTTTCAAGGTTAATTCATGTTTACTTGCTGAAAGTATCCATATCTAAGTCAATCATACATAGATGCCAAACAAAATATAAACAATAAAAAACGTGTCAGCCAACAAGCTACAGGACTGTATCCAATCAATGAATAAGCCTTATCTCTGTTTTCATCTTCATTCACAATTTCTGAATGATTAAGTCCTTTTAAATCACAGTGCTTTTTAATTATCAAATAACTTGAAATAATAATTTGTCCTTTGTACAAATATAACTGCATTAATATTAGATTTATGATAATACACCACTAGATTTACTTTCTCACTTTTCTTTATCTATTTTTTTGCACCAATGAGGAAGCAAGCAGCTATCAGTTAATCAGTTTACATCACATCCTCCTAAGACAGACTTTTACAAAAACTGCTGAAAACTACTGAATAGTTTTAGAGTTAGTTTACTCTCTGGTATATACTCTAGCGCCAATATATTAATTTCTTATTAAAATGATTGTATATATACACACTGTAATAACTTTCAATGTGTTAATGTCTACTGTTAAAAAATAATAGTTTCAAAGAGCTGTAGTTCTGTAATAGTTTCTGTATTGTTTCTTTCACTGCATTTTAAACGTACAGTTAAAATGTACAATTTTCCAAAATCCATGCTCTATACCTCCCCTATTTGAAATAATATTGCAGGGCTTGTCCAAAATGTCCTAAAAACATGTAATCTTGCATGCAGCATTAACAATCATTGCTTATTTTTTTAATAAGGTCCAAGAAGTCATTTACCACCATAACATGACAATAATTATAAGTGCAACTTATATAAAAAGTATTTTTTGTTTCTGAAGTTGCATGCTGAGTTACAAAACAACAAAATCAAATAATAAAATGTTATGTCCCCCGACAGTCAAATAAGAAAATATCCTATAATTTAGTCACTCTAATCAACCTCATACTGTTGGCAGTATATATTATTAATTCAGCACAGAACAGTATTACTTTTGCATCAATCAGTGTTCAATTAAAAATAACATTTTTCCTCTTAAACCCTTTTAGTTGCCATTGAGTGAATAAACAGGAGCAGAAGACAGCAGATCAATATTTTCCAGTCTAATCAGTACTTTACAAACCTGCTTTTTAATTTATATATATATATTACCTTTGGCTTTTTTATGCAACAACAATAATATTTATCGAGGGATGATGGCACTTTAAACCAATCTCCTCCAAAACAATGGCCTTGTACAGTTTTTTGTCTTCTGCTGTTTGATTTTGCAACAGGAGTTTGGACCCTGACAAGCAGCTATAATTGTGCTTTAAGCCGTTACTACTATTAGCATGACTCATTATCAATCTTGTTATATGTAGCTTCATATATATATATATAGTGTGTGTGTGTGTACACACACACACACAATAAAAAATATAAAGTAAAAACGCATCTGTACCTGAGTGAGACAGATGGGAGAATACATCATGACTTCGCTTTGAGAACACACTTCCCGGAGAGCCCCTAAGAAAAGCCTCAAAAGGGAATAATTTCATCTATTCATTTTAGACATCTGAGAACGCAAGGAAGATGAAATCAATCAGGCCGGGATTCTGCCCCTGGATCACCGCAACTTCACAGCAAACCCCAGTCCTCCTTAAATAGCCAAAGATTCAAGTTCACTCCGTGTGCTCGCTTTCCCGGGGTGAAATCCAATCTACACTTTTAACCCTCTTGTTGTCGGCGGCGCAGGAGTCTCGCTTTTGCTGCTGCTGCTGCTTCTGCGGCTGGATTTCGGAGGAAGGGGGTTTTCGGGGGCGGGGGGGGGGGGGATTTTTGCTGTTTGCTTTTTGGAGAAGTTAGCGGTGGTTGCGCTGTCACCACGCTACCAAAGTTCAAGGTTACAGCTCGGAGCGGAGCAGGAAAGTCCCGGAGTAATCGCAGGCGAAACTTTGCAAGGAAGAGACCATGTGCGTATGTGAGAGTGAGTGAGAGTGTGAGTCCCCCAAGGCTGGGAAATGCTTCGCAGCGCGCAATCTCCGGGCTCCTCTCGCAGCAGCCTGTGCCTCTCCCTGCCTATGCACTCCCTCCCCTCCCCCCCCACCCCCACCGCACCAATGTGGGCAATGTTAAGAGGCTGCTTTCCAAACGCCCACTATAATAAAAATGATCTCTTGAAAATTCAAAACCATAAATCTCTGCCTCGCTCCCGCCCCATTTGCTCGTGCTCCGCAAAACTTGGAAGTTGAGAAACCCACCGGTGACACCCTCTGGACCCCCTTCCCGTCCTCGCCCCCAAATGAGACTTCAGGATTTTTTTAATTATTTAATTACACAATCATCGCCAAACGCCCACTATAATAAAAATGATCTCTTGAAAATTCAAAACCATAAATCTCTGCCTCGCTCCCGCCCCATTTGCTCGTGCTCCGCAAAACTTGGAAGTTGAGAAACCCACCGGTGACACCCTCTGGACCCCCTTCCCGTCCTCGCCCCCAAATGAGACTTCAGGATTTTTTTAATTATTTAATTACACAATCATCGCTCACACTCCTCCCGCAAACACATTCCTCTCCCCCCCCCGCACCAGATCCCCCCTCCTCCTCTTCATCAATCATCTAGCAGAAGAATCCAGCACATTTTACAGACGTGCCTAATCCCCCCCCCCCCCCAAAGGGGTGGGGTTT